GTCGCTGAGGCCCTAATCTGCAACTTTTTTAGCTTATTTGTAAAATTCATTAAATGATTATTGGGGGGGGGGGGGGGGGGGGGGGGGGGGGGGGGGGGGGCTGCTGCGTGGTCTGGAGGCATGGTGTCCGTCTCGAAAGATAGAAGTCCCAGGTTCAGTCCCTGTGAGGGATGGGATTTGTTTCACATGGATTTTAGTAATTGTCCCTGATCTCTGGGTAGTAAGACCGGACGCCCGTCTGTAATGTTGCGCACGTAAAAAAAAAATCCCTAGGTAGTTGAAAATCGAAAAGAATAGCATAACGGCGCTGCCTATGCAACATTTTGAGTTGAAAATCTACCCGAAGTATTTCAGAATCCTCGCCGGTGCTACAGAGTTTGTGCACTGCGCCGAGAATCTTAAAACTCAGGCTTGAGTTAGAAAAAGAACGGTGCACTTATGGGTTACTCCCGTGTGCATTGATGTTGATCTGTCGAAAAAAACATAAACACTTTCCTAAATTAATAACTTTCTCAAAGATATTGTTTACACACAAAAAATGTTCACATTTGCTTGGACATGCAAAGTTAGTCATCCAGACGTTAAGAAAGAGACTATGTCTAGTAGCATTGCAATGTGTCGTCCCCAAGCGGGACGCAATTTTTAGTTATTCTGCAGCTCCCATCCTGGCTTTTTGCTGGGAGCCGTAAATGTATACTCTAGCCTTAACTGGTAGGGTTTCAAATAGCCTAACGGCTGAACGGGGTTTCTGGGACCTCTTCACGGGTAATCCTCATCTGCGTAGTGGTACTTTGTGTCACCGGGTGTTTATCGCTTGTGTAATGTCCTGGTGGGGTACAACTTACCTGCCTACCACGTCTCATAGACAACTTATCACGAACACAAGAAAGAGGGATTCGTGATTATGAATTTTTCTGTCACATTACACACAAAAACACGTAACATACTGTGACAACTGGAATGATTTATTGATCGCGAGACAGAGGAAGACAAACTATTGAAGATTTTTAACATCCTACGCTTTAGCACAGCACTGCTAATTCTTTTACAGATTGCGCTGTGAGAAAAATCAATGATCATAAAAACCAGTTGGCGAGACACTTGACAATGATGATGATGATGACAATGATAAAGTTAATCAATAACGAGAGACCACTGCAACGACCAGGGGTTTTGGAACTCATGATTTCCAGTACAAAAAAAAAAAAATTATTGCATGTGACACGGTTATGCCACTGTAACGACTTCATCTCCGATACCAATTAACACAGCTATATAAACACTAATGAGATCTGTCATGGATATGCCAGGAATTGTGGTTGGTGGTCATAACATAAACAACCTAAGTTTTGCTGATGACACCGTCTTGACAGTGACAAGTTCAAAAGAACTACAGGAATTGATAGATGCGGCGGTGACAGATGGTGATAAAATAGGCCGCAGTGTGAATAATGAGAAGACAGAAGTATCAGTGATTTCCAAGAAAAGAAAAACTCCTAAAATATTTCATAAATGTCAAAGGTGATATTTTAGGACAAGCACGGAAATTTAAGTATCTAGGCACATGGATAACATCCGATGGAAGATGTGTCACAGAGATAAAGAACAGAATAAGACAGTTCAGACCTGCCTTTTATAAAAGAAGATTTTTTGTGACATGATACTATGTCATTGAAGGTTAGGGAACTTCCCGCAATGCCATATAGAGCCAGTTTTAACATACGGCTGTGAATCCTGGACAATTAATGAACAAGCCGAATAATATCCTGAGTCCTCGGAGATGTGGTTCTACAGAAGAATCCTTAGAATTCATCGAACAGCTAAAAAGAGCAACGAAGTTGTTTTGAAAGAGGCGAGTGCACGATGACAATTTGTCACAAACATCAGACAGAGACAGTCATTTTAGTCACGTTTTGAGAAAAAGGAAAATGGAAACATGTTGTCATCACTGGACAAAGTCTGGAGAGAGAGAGAGAGAGAGAGAGAGAGAGAGAGAGAGAGAGAGAGAGAGAGAGAGAGAGAGAGAGAGAGAGAGAGACAGCAGGAAAAGATTCTTAACCTTTTAACCATGACATGGATTTGCGTCAATACACTAACTGATACTCGCAGCTGCGAATCACAGACTGTGGAGAGGCAATGATCGCCCACGCCAGGCAATTAATGATGAAGATGATGATGGCATAAACACTTCATAAGTTAACCACCCTTTCGCGTCTAGAGACGCACAATTTCTCGCCTCATTAATTTTGATTTTATGATCGCAAACTGCAAATACAAGACCCAGTTGGAGAAAACAGTTCCACAATTGTGCTCTATTTGTAAATTATTTGCTAAAGGAAGTTAATACAAGCTAACATTCGTCTTTTTGTTGAACTTCTAGACCAGACTTTTCCCTATCTCAAGTGTAATCGCCTCTCAGGAGTTTGAGAAGCCTCAATTAGGATGGCACTTAACGGCTGCAAGTACGTCGTGTTTTATGGAATACAATGTTTGCCGATTGCCTTGTGTTTTGTGGTGGGTGAGAAGAGAGAGAAAAGAGAGAGAGAGAGAGAGAGAGAAGAGAGAGAGAGAGAGAGAGAGAGAGAGAGAGAGAGAAAGAGAAAGACAGGGAGAAAGAGAGAGACATAAAGAGAGACAGAGAGAGGCAGAGAGAGACAGGCTGCCTCTCATTTGCAGTATTACAAAATATGGGATTACCTATAATTTACTGTGTTACAAAACATGGGATTATCTCTTATTTACTGTGTTATAAAACATGGAATTATCTATAATTTACTGTGTTTTAAAACATGGAATTATCTATAATTTACTGTGTTTTAAAACATGGAATTATCTATAATTTACTGTGTTATAAAACATGGGATTATCTCTGATTCACTGTGTTATAAAACATAGTATTATCTCTAATTTACTGTGTCATAAAACATTGGATTATCCTTCACTTAGTCCCTGTTAAAGTATTATTATGGAATAAAGTGGAATAAAAAATCGTTGCCTCCCACGTATTTGACTATCAAACACGAAATTGCCAATCTCATAGTGTGTTATAAAAGAAGAGAATGCAAGTTACTTAAATTATTGTGACAAACAAAACGTATACTCACACCGTGCTTCGTTACAGGCTGTAACACGACACGTTGTATTTTGCCTTTTTCTTTTTGCAGAAACCGTGAACTATTTATTTCAAACACAATCCTGACCTCCGAATCGCTCAAAAAGATTGCGAAAAACAGATTGTTCTGGAAAGAAATCACGTATCCAAAGAAACCGCAACGAATTTATATTTGTATAAAATTACCACAGCAGACTTTGACTAATTTAGCTTAGAAATACATATTGAAAATGAGTGTGAATAACACACTGTCTAAATGCAGGTATCCTCTGAACTGAGGCCACAGGAAGCCGCTGGAAACTGTTGTGTATGTGTTAAGGGATACTTGTAAGCCCTGTGTTGTATGTTTGTTTAATGCCAGATGTGTTCGTGGTGCTTTGAAAAAATCCCCGACTACAGCTCACAACTTGCGAACTAGCTTGGTCTCTTACGAGACACGCCTGACCAGACTAGAGGTAAACAGATTCAGGAACACAGTTGAGGACACAGGGGCCCAATAATAAGGAGACTATAGGCAGCTCTAACAGCCACACCACAGCGGGGGTCTTAAATATGAGCTAGGCTAGCATGGCTAGTGTTGTCGCCACAGACTGTACAAGTTAGAATTTTATTTCTTGTTTCCGTCAGGAAAAATAATTTATAAACACATTTAGACTCCAAAATGGGAGTTCAGCGTTTCTAACATTTCTACCCAGTTCTTTAAGTTATCTAAACTGACACAACAGAAAAAAAAAAAAAGAGACCCACGTAAAGAAGTAGGCAAACTTACACAATATGATAAATTGTTAAGCAAGAATAAATTCTAAAGAACCAGAACGCTAACAAAATAAAATAATCATACACAAGACCGAACCGTGATGACAAGTTTATTACAAATCCAGAATAAAACCTCAACAGCCAACGCTGAACTCAAATGAGGCATAAACAAGCCCTGATAGTTTACACACAAACACGGAAGGTTCATAAACTGGTTTTGTTTACTTAAAATATACAGCACATGTGGAAAAATAATTACAGCAACACATTAACAGGAGCAGCGGCCTCGTTTACCTTCTGACTAGCTGCCCCTTCACAGTTGGACTGTCTGTGGAGTTATCTGAATTTCTAAATGCGGTAATTAATGGAGCAGAACGTGGTGCAAGGTGAAATTATTATCAAAAGGATGACCTTCTCTGATTTGAATGGTCGTGCGTACTGGAAGCAAGCAAGCGTAGAATGTGGGGCAGAAGGAATTGATTTGACTGCTGATTCCATTCAGTATTTGTATTCCCTATGATGTTTTGGCGTGTACGACGACAAAGGATGAGGGTGTTGAAGATGAAGACCAAATAGGGGAAGAAGAGGAGAGGAAGGGATGAGGAATCATCATCATCAAATGGTATGCACATGAGCATATGCTGTCATGTTTGCCATATAAAAGGAATAACAAGATCAGGGGTTAGGTCAGTGTTCTTGTCTCCGCTTATCCATTTGATTGAACCATCCAGATATTTAGAAGTGGTTTCGGGTCCTGACAGGGGCCAGACTTTTTTTTTTTTATGACCTTGCCGTGTAACAACTGTAATCGTCGCTGACGTCACAACTAAACTGAAAAGAACACTCGCTGTGTGTTTACGCTACTCATGAAGAAACTCTAACGCGTGAATGCTACTAGTTACTAGGACTATGAAACTAGCTTTTCACGCATACTCTCAGCAGGAACGTGACGGTGAGGAAATTATCACGTGATGCCCTCTCCAGCGTAATCCGTACCTGCTAACGTTTACACGTGCGTATTGATTACGCCCTACTACTCAAAAAGGTGCTTGATGAGGAGAAGCCGGAGTGGACAAAAAAATTGAGGGGGGGGGGGTGGTAAAATAGGAAAGAATTGGAATAAGTTGGAAAGATGAAAGAGCTAGAAAAATTAAAAGGACAGTTGTGTGTCAGTGTCGCAGTTACTGTGTATGAGACAAACCAAACAGCATGTTTGAGTTGGAAGCATGGTACTCGTAAACGAACAATGAATCGTGTCTTAGGTTGAATGTTGAATTAAGAATCGACATCACAGCACTCGGGACACTCCCATAAGTGCTCAGTCCCCATCTTCAGCAGCAAGCGAAGAGTTCCAATTCCTATGGTACCAGTAACCGTTTGTATATCCGTCTCATTCTTCCTCTGAGTGTTGAGCGTCGGCCAGATCCCCTGGTAACTCCTCGCAGCGCCATTCTCCTTAGACTGTAATGATCTATCTGCGCCTTCGCACTGTTTACTCGCTCCCAAAGGATCCTCGCAATATCTAACTTGTCATACATAAGTTCACCACCAAGTGGTGCAGAGACAGCCTGTCTATCTGCCTGCTCATTTCTCAACACACCCTTATACCCTGGAGAACATAACCCAAGGTTGCCAACTACCTGGGAAACAATAGTTAACCGAACTTACTAGACATGAACAGTCACAAGTATTGTTACGTTGATGTTTATTTAACGGAACAACATCATTTGCACGCTGGTGTAACCCATTAGTGCTCCGTTCTACTCATAACTCATGCCCGAGTCTGAAGAATAATAGCACGGTGCACGAACTCCGTTACATAGGCGGGGATCCTGAAACACTTTGCGTAGATTTTTAACTCAAAATTTTGTCTGGGCAGCGCCGTTAGGCTACTTTTTCCAACTACCTAGAGACTAGGGAAATAACTACAAGTCCACGTGAAAAAATCCTAGCCTTCACCGGGTTTGAACCAGCGATCGAAGCGGATGCCATACCTCGAGACCACCTTAAAGCTCCTAAAACTAAATATGGACATCGTTTAGGCAGCTTACGCATTCTGTTAGCAAGTTATACCTGTAAATTGTGATCAACCATAAACATAGGTGTCAGAATGTAGGTAACAAGGCCACCCCCACTCCACCACCAAATGAAAACCTATTAGAAGCTAATTGTCTTCACCCTCCTCCACCACTAGACTTTTGTATGTTCCATAAATGTTAAAGGCACTAAGCGTTCTTTTTTTTCCATGTACATAATTCTGATCCAGTACACATTTCCCAGCACATCTACACACTGTCTGATCTTTCATTCATACTTTCTCAGACTTCTACATCAGAGAGGTGTCATGTTGTCTTGCCGTCAATTACATCAGCGCCGATGTCACGTGTTCTACACTACACAGCTTTCAACGACCCCAGAACACGTAGAACTGACCCTAACCCTAAACCTCTACCAACAGCCGGAGCCTAGGTCATAGGAGAGAGTTTTCGAAGAAAGAAGTACAACAAGACACACCTCGGACCTAGATCAGACTGAGAAAGTGTGTAGATGGGCCGCGAAACGTAAACAGGTCCATAATTCCCATTGAAAGTATTTGTTGAAATTGTTCTTATCATTTGAAATCAATTTATGTGCTATTCATCTCTTAATCCCACCTCCCCCTCACCTAGATAAAATGTTTATGGCGAGGAATGAAGCACCATCCGTCCCCCCTCACCACCCCAATATTAAAAGTGTGTGTGTGTGTGTGTGTGTGGGTGTGTGTGTGTGTGTGTGTGTCGGCGCCGCTGATTTTAAGCAGACAAGATTGACTGACAGAACTTTTTCCTCTATAAGTATGGTTGAAGTGATTAGAACATGGTCACCAAGTGCAAACCAATTCTTCAAGATCATTTTGTAACCAGTCCAGCTTTATGGTTCTCTAAAATCAGAGATACAAAAATATACCGAGGAATATCGTGATCTAGCCATTCTTTGATCTTCTCTGTCCTAGATTGTCTGAGCATTTCTCCATTACGAGCGCCTACAGTTGTTATATGGAAACTCGTTTTTTGAAAAGAGATGAGATGGATCGCATGTCCAAAGCAGGAAAGCATTCAGCTCTTATTATCGATGTTGCTGTTTTTATTTTTGTTTGTTGTCTCTGCTTTTGATTGTTCTTGTTGTTATTGTTATCGATCCAGAGGATCCCTGGCTGCCGCCTCTTGATGCATAGCCACATAATTATTCATGTAAGTTTTGAAAGGGACGTTCCGTTGTTGCATGTAAAGCTTTCCTATTATCTGGTTTTGGTGAAAATAAGTGTGTGGCGTTTTTTTTTAAATGTATGTAACACATTTGGCGTCGGCTCTGTGGCTAAGTCGATGCGAATGCTTCGTAATGCCGGGATGCCGAGTTCGATCCCAGCTGCGGGCCATACGCCTTGCGTTTGGTTTCGACAGTGGTATCAAGAAAGTCGACCGTCCAGAAGCAATGGCAAACTACTAGATGCAAATTTCCCTAGAAAAAAACCACACAACAACCAGTGGCTGTTGGGGTTGGTTCTGCAACGTCCTGTAAAGGATACGCTAACTAATAACACAATTGGCAGTTTACTATATTTCTTCGTCTTCTTTTTCGTGTTCATCGGCTGTTAACGATGACGGAAAAATCTTATTGTTCACCCACTTCAGTTGTTTCCAACCTTTCTTGAGACCGAACTTCCTTCTCCCGCCCCTCCCACCTTGAGTATTTGACAAGACCCACCATGCCCCCTCCCCTAAAAATATGACAAGACCCTACCCCCTACCCCCACCCCCATGTGATTAACACGACGAGGACAACAGATTCCGTAACAAGTGAAACAGAAGGTATGATGCTACGCTTTGGTCAGAATTTTTTTAAATCTATAATTAAATACCTGTAATATCATATTATTTTGCTTTTTTTAGTGCAGATTCACAAACTGCTTATGAAAAACTAAAAACACACTGTTCTTTTCTTTTTCGTTTTAGAAATTTTTTAAATATGTAAATTAATTAATAATCAAACTAAAACAAAAACAAAAACATAAAGATTATTCAAAATTCAAAAACAGTCAGTTTCTAATGGTTTGACGTCCCCTTGAAACCACTCTCATGCCCACCCACCGCCCCCCCCCCCCACCCAATCCTCAGTCTGAAGACCAGAAGGGATCCCTTATCACTTAACTCATTGGTTCTCAACCTATAGGTGGCGACCCCTTATTTGAAGTCGAACGACCCTTTCACTTGGGTCGCCAAAGGCCATTGGAAAACATACATTCGCTGAAGTTATGAAGAGGCAACGGAAAAAAAGGATGGTTGGGGAGTTGCCACAACAAAAGGAACTGTAGTAAAGGGTCGCACAACAGGGGGAACTTTACTAAAGGGTCGCTACAACATGAGGAACTGTAATACAGGGTCGCCGCATTAGGAAGATTGAGAACAACTATCTTAACCGATCAGGCTTTTTGGTATGCACGGCTGGGTCCTTGCATCTCAGATAGATGCACCTTAAGTTCCAAGCGATAAAAAAAAGCATTGTCTATATTCACCCCACCCCTCTCACACCTTACCTTCCACACCCTCTCACACCCTATCTCCCACACCCTCTCACAACCCATCTCCCACACCCTCTCACACCCCATCTCCCACACCCTCTCACACCTTATCTCCCACACCCTCTCACACCTTATCTCCCACACCCTCTCACACCCTAGCTCCCACACCCTCTCACACCCCATCTCCCACACCCTCTCACACCCCATCTTCCACACCCTCTCACACCCCATCTCCCACACCCTCTCACACCTTATCTCCCACACCCTCCCACACCCTATCTCCCACACCCTCTCACACCCCATCTCCCACACCCTCTCACACCCTGTCTTCCACACCCTCAGACACCATATCTCCCACACCCCCTCACACCCCATCTCCCACACCCTCAGAAACCCTATCTTCCACACCCTCTCACACCCCATCTCCCACACCCTATCTTCCACACCCTCTCACACCCTATCTCCCACACATTCTCACACCCCATCTCCCACACCCTCTCACACCCCATCTCCCACACCCTCTCACATCCCATCTCATACAACCTCTCACACCCCATATCCCACACCGTCTCACACCCCATCTCCCACACCCCATCTCCCACACCCCATCTCCCTCACCCTCTCACACCCCATCTCCCACACCCTCCAACACCCCATCTCCCACACCCTCTCACACCCCATCTCTCAAACCCTCTCACACCCCATCTCCCACACCCTCTCACACCCCATCTCCCACACCCTATCTCTCACACCCTATCTCTCACACCCTATCTCCCACACCCTATCTTCCACACCCTCTCACACCCTATCTCCCACACCCTCTGACACCCTATCTCCCACTCCCTCTGACACCCTATCTCTCACACCCTCTCACACCCTATCTCTTACACCCTATCTCCCACAACCTCTGACACCCTATCTCCCACACCCTCTGACACCCTATCTCCCACACCCTCTGACACCCTATCTCCCACACCCTCTGACACCCTATCTCCCACACCCTCAGACACCCTATCTCCCACACCCTCTGACACCCTATCTCCCAAACCCTCTCACACCCTATCTCCCACCCCCTCTCACACCATATGTCACACAATTTTCCCCAGAACCTACACGGGTTTACTAATCATAGTCGTGTATCTTTTGGGTTTCGACTGGGGCCTGTCTTCCTCTCACAAACATGACCTGTTGTATGTGTGTGTGGGTGTGTGGGCTCGTGTGCATGCGTGCGTGTGTGTGTGTGATAAAAAGACGCACGAGAAGTGTACGTAAGTGATGAAGATAGCCGTCCTGACGTATCATCTCCTTTAGTATCTCTCTGTAAAGAGACTGCTTGCATGCGGACATCATTGCACAAAAGACGAATTCCGTAGTGAAAACGACAACCACGTGGATATTTGAAATACCCAGCAAGAGCGAACCGAACAGCAGAGTGTGAAACCTAACCCTATAAAAGTTCAAAGACATTGTTTTAACCTGTACGACCCACCATCTGTATGTCCGTCTCTACACGCACATATACGCCTACGTGTTCGCGCATATGTGCAACCATATGTATAGTCATATGTACGATCGTATGTTGGGCCCTATGTGCGCCCATCAGTACAGCTATATGATCGGCAAAGATGATGTCCGTAAATATTGCACTCATAAACCGAACGACAGTCGTCAAACCAAACCACGATCTTCAGAAAGCGAGGTAAACGAACATTTCTAATAGCTGCTTCTGTCTCTTTATTTGTGTCCAGCTGTTGTAGAACATACGCATTTAGAAGAGCAAGTAGTTTCATCATCTGAACTTGGCAGGTATAGCTACTGTTTCTTTATCAGATAGAACTGAGTCTTAACACGGTTGATGGTGCCAGCTTCAGCGCGTTCTGTTTCTTTATCAGATAGAACTGAGTCTTAACACGGTTGATGGTGCCAGCTTCAGCGCGTTCTGTTTCTTTATCAGATAGAACTGAGTCTTAACACGGTTGATGGTGCCAGCTTCAGCGCGTTCTGATCTCTAAGTTTCAGCAATTACATAAAATAGTAAGTATAAAAAAAGGTAAAAGTAAAGATCCCTTTACACGCCCTTAGGCGCATCGGGCATAAGGAAAGAGCAACCATATTTTTGCAGACCAAGGCACTCGGTGGGTAATGTGGTCAGCATTACCCCGGCCGTCTTTACTTTCCCAGGACAGCCCATCCTGGCACCTATGTGAGGCTGGGTCGACCTGCGACGTCCCATACCACGATAAAAATCCACGTAGCTCGCAGTGGGTTTCAATCGCGGTACGTTGGATTACTGTATATGCGTGCCTATATGTCTACGCGCGCTCATTCTTTCTCGTTTTAAAAGTACAACTATAGCGTATTATGCGACAGCTTAGGTACAGTTTGTATTCATAACATTCCGTCAACACGGTACCTACCCCAATGTACTAATATACTGTATATTTACAATCCTAGCAGCGACTCCCGTCTTGTAATACATAAATACGTAGTCATGCTCCATCTGATAACACTGTTAACAGTTCAAAACCAACCAACAAGCACGCCTAAAACCTCGGCCTGTTTACCTGCACACGCCCATATCTGTATCGTACCCCTGGGAATCTACAACCAGAACATTCTTGAATCTAGACGAATTTACAGTTAGAGCACTCTTCCAATACCGTTCCCAAATTATTTACTGCCAAAAACATCTGAATGGAATTTTTTGTCTTTGAACAATAAGGGACCGTTTTTTGGAAGAGTGCCCAGAGAGGTCTCTAACTTACCATGAGTTTTCTATGAGAAAAGTCTAGGACGTATCCGTTTGTCCCTTCAAAAGAAAGATCTATATTCTAACAGTTTATCTCTACCAAATGAATGATCTATACGGTAGTTGTTTGTCTCCACCAACCAAAAAGTTACTGACAATGGTTCTCAACCTATGGATCACGTTCCTTTTTTGTGTGGGGTCGAACTAATCTTTCACACTGGTCGCCAAAGAACATCGCGAAAAGCACATTCACTGAAGTTATGAAGTAGCAACGAACCTAGTTGTAAGGCTGGGAGGAGCTGAATTAAAGGGTTGCCGCATTTGGAAGGTTGAGAACCACTGCCTATAACCTACCGTTTGTCTCTACCAACAGAAAGGTCTATAAAACCATTAGCAAGGTCTATAAATACCAGTAGAAAGGTCTCTATTGTAGTTGTTTTTCTTTCCAAACAGAAAGGTCTGTAATGCCAACAGAGAGGTCTGTAATACCAACAGAAAGGTCTATAATACCAACAGAGAGGTCTATAATACCAACAGAAAGGTCTATAATACCAACAGAAAGGTCTATAATACCAACAGAATACAATAACCTACAGGCTTGTTTCTACCAGCGTACAGTCCATTACCTACCAGTGTGAATCTGCAAAGATGTCTTAACCTCCCAGATTCGGTCTATGAAAAGTAACGAATCCTTGCCTACGCCTATAGACGTGTTGGGCATATTGGGCTAGACCTGTATTTTATAGACCAATCAGCACTTGGTAGATGAGGTGGCCAGCATCACACAGGCCGCCTTTACTTCACTGGTCTGCACCTAGTACCTATTTAAGGCTGGGTCAACCTGGCACAAAGGTTATTTTCAAAGAAGAAAAAAAAGAAGTTCGACTGTGACAGTCTCTGAACCCACGATCTTCGGATCGACAGGCGGGCGTCTAGACACTATACCACGGTGGCTCCTACAGATAACTAAACACAAGAAATGTATGTTTAAATAAATATTCCGTCGGAGCTCTCATAGTTCGAGAATCAACTTTCATAAATCCTTTGCATATTTTTTTTTACATTTATTAATATTATTTTTAAATTTATTTCCCCGTTTGTATCTCCTGCTTTTTATCGTTCCTGTTTTGTATCGCAGTAGTCTTTCTATTTTCTTCTATTTTCCTGTCTGCCTCTAATCTTACCGATGCTGATCCCCAGTCTATGAAGAGGTACATCTAATTTATATTCTCAAATCACTCTGTGTAGTATCAAAGCAATCGCACACAGACTTATGAATTTGCACCCCAGGCGCTCAGTAGAACGTTAAAAAGGAAACCTTCCTCTCTGTCTGTGTACGTGAGATGGTCTAGGGGTGGGTCATGGTTGCAAATGAGACCGGGGTCGGTTATAGATTTATGGATTGTCTATATATTTCTTGTCAGTTGTTTCTTTTCTTTACTTTTCTAATAAACATCTCTTCAGAATAGTGAAAATGTGTCAAAGTGAGAATTAATAGTTAGCTGGTAACGGATGAGGGATCTGTAGGTCAGGGGTAGGTATGTACACTTGGAGTACACCGCTGGAGTGCCGGATCATAGGAGCTCAGACCCTTGAACCCGCCACCTATGTACTGTGGGCTGGGGAAGTGTCAGGGGCCTAGAACCACCCCCGAAAACAGGGAAGATGGATGTGTGCGTTCTCCATGTGTGTAAGCGTTTTCAGTTTAAGCATTATTGAGATATTTTAGGTCCTATTACGTTTCCTGGTTCAGCTACACGCTCACTGACATTTCATTCATACTTTTTCATACTTTTCTACGGCGGAGGAGTGTCATGTTGTTTCCCTCCAGTCACATCAGCGCCGATGTCGCGCGTCCTATAGTACACAACGACACCGCTTTCAACGACCCCAGAATATGCAGAACCCACCCCAACCCACAGCCTCAGCCTAGGTCACACGAGAGACTCTTTTACTGAGAAAGTGTGTAGATTGGCTAGGAAACGTGAACAGTTCTACATTTCATGTTATTGCAAAAGCTTAAACGTGTTTATTTGTCATTGGGATAATAATGATAATAATTTGTATTACAGTTATTATCATTACCATCATTAATGGTGTAGCGGCTAGACCTTCGCCAGCGGAGCCGATGGTTAGGGGTTCAAATCCATCGAACTAACAGAGCTAAATATCTTGCCGAATAGATCGATCCATTCTAGAAAAAGTTACATGGAAAGTAAAGACGGCCAGTGTCATGCTGGCCACGTTTCTTACCGAGTGCCGATTGATCTGTAAAATATGTCTAGCAATATATAACCCAAAACACACCTGTGGAAAGACATCCTATACTTTACGTACTTTTACTTTGAGCAAATTGTACCCTAGAAAATTATAACTCATCTCTTCTCTCTCTCTCATGTTTTCTGTGTGTCGGCGCCTAAAGGGCTTTCTCTGCTGGGACACCTTGTCCCAGCTGACAACAGCTGATAATGAACGCTATCTAGTACATACATACAAACTGGTACACATATCAAAATTATAAAAATTAAAGTTTGTACTACACAGACCAGAGTTCATGAAGCTTAGGCTTGATCTGCTCCAGCTGCACGAATTACCGGAATTGGTGAATAGACTGCGAGTCCTGCTGACATATACTTTCACAGCAGGACTATAAATGAACGAATAAATGAATGATTGAACGAATAAATGAATGATTAAATATGAATGAATGAATTTTCTTAGAATGCTTAAATACACCCTAGCATATATTTACATTTTTTTTAGTGTTCAATTAGCATTTTGCATAATGAGCATTTTGCGTTCAATAGGTTGCTTTATTTCCAGATCAGTTCGACGTTCCTACCATATAGTATGGCGATTAGTGGCGTCATTGTTTTCTGTATGCTACAATATGATCCGGGAAGTAGAGGCGGTCGGCGTGTTGCTCACCACATCACCCATCTTGTGACCATTGGTCTATAAAATATAGGTCTAGCCCTATATGCCCTATACGCCTAAAGGAGTGGAAAAGGGTCCTTTACTTTTTTTTTTACTTCACAACATGTGATGTTTGATGATTATACTTGTTGACAACCTT